CTTGTTGTTTGTCGTTTCTCCGATCACAAATGCAGACATGGTTTTATGTTTACGTGGCGCGATGCAACGCAATGCGTAAAAAGACAAAAAGGCATTATAATCCATAATTATGTCCCCACTGGATGCAACGAATGCCTTGTTTATAATGGGTTTTCATGTTTTTGAATCATCGCTCCGGCCTGACAGGGCATCATCACAGTATGGTAAGGGGCGTAACATTTCCATCACATGCTTGAGGTATTCGGCCAATCACAACGCACTAGATAGCTGGCCAATCACAGCACACCTCGCTTTTTCAGACCGATGAGCTTTGTAAAAATCGACGCGTTTCAGAAAGGCGGGGCATAGAGGAGAAACAATAATGTACAGTATGTGGAAAATAATGTGTTTTTTGAACCTTAAACCGCATAAACACATTTCATTACACCAAATACACAAAATAATGTTCTTTTTAGCAGCATCATATGACCCCTTTAAAAAATAAGAGAGGAAAACAGAATATGAATGCAGTAATCCAAAATGGTGGCCAGAACATATACACGGCCATTAAAAAGTATTAAAAATTTATACTTTTATTCAGCAAGGATGCATTAAATTGATCAAAGGTGACAGTAAAAAGACTTCCAAAAAATATATATTTCAAATAAATATTCATCAAAGAATCCTAAAAAAATATGTATGACGGTTTCCACAAAAATATTAAGCAGCAGAACGTCAACATGTTTTCAACATTGATAATAATAAATGTTTCTTGAGCAGAAAATCAGCATATTAGAATGATTTCTGAAGGATCATGTGACACTGAAGACTGGAGTAATGGCTGCTGAAAATTCAGCTTTGCATCACAGGAATAAATTGTAAAATATATTTAAATAGAAAAGAGTTATTTTAAATAGTAATAATATTTCACAATATTACTGTTTTTACTGTATTCAAACAGTAAAGTATAAATTATGTAAATGAACACAATTCATTTTTTTGTTACTTTGCAATTATTCTCTAAAAAAATGCAGAAATTATTGTCTTTGAAAACAAAATTGAGTAAAATAATTCTACATTCTGTCTCCTGGTGTGTTTAGTCTATCAAAAGGAGAAGTTTTTCTCAGTTCAAACTTACTCTTGAGTTTTCCTTAGCCTAGAAGAACATGACAGGCCTGGGCTTTGATCTCCCAAGTTTTCCCTGTATGCTGCTTTAGCGCAAGTTCAGTCACAATGATTTTCCATCAAATGAATTTGCTTTAATGGCCTCTCACAGAGTATGCTTAGCCATTCCTTACGCCAAAGTTTGGACGACATAAACACAAACATGCTTCTCACTGCAGGGTATTTATATTTAAATTCCGTACGTACGTTTTCAGAATCAAAGCGGTTGTATAGACGGGTGTGATGATTCAGCAGGTGGTCCTTCGCTACAAGCAAAACTGGTATATACTGCGCGGGGTGCTGAAAACTCAGAGGGAGCTGTCCATTGTTTGGTGCTGAAATGAATGCTGGTGCTGAAATGGCTGGCAACACTCTGTGCTTCATACAGGGTTTGAATGCTGACATCCTTTTGAAACAAGTAACAGGATTTTAGAAGAAATGGGAAGATAAGACTGGTGTGCTCCTAGATATGATCTGTTATTGTGTGCTAATGAATATCTTCCTTTTTTCAGTAAGATCTGTTTTAAGACCTACTGAGCTGCATTGCGTCCTACATAGGCAGCTACCTTCTAAGGCAGCATCTTTACTGAAATAAAACCTCATAAGTGACTAAACACTAAATAGGCAGAAATTCTGAGCATCATACAAATAGGGCTTAGAACCGGAGTCTAAGAAGCTTTTTTCATTTATTAATTTTAAACGTTTTATCTATAATTTTTATTGTTGAATTTATTATATTTATGTCTCCAGTCTTTTTACTTTATTCGTCATCTTTAGTGTTTCGACAGTGCATTACGAGATTATTTTTATAATTATTTTTGCAGTGCTTTTGGGGTGTGCCTATGATGTCTTAAAATGTAGGCAGCCTACTAGGATTTGGAACGGAGCGATAGAATCATACGCAGGATTTTACTCATGTATGTGAGGGGGAGGGGAAGCGCTACGATCCTTATATGCTCTCCCGCTTTGTCTATGCACTCATTCGCTCTCTCTCTCTTTCTGTGTTAATCTCAGTCCTGTCTGCACAAGAGCTTGTGTCAACAGGGGATTAAAGGGTACAGACATGTCCGCCAAGCAGAAACATGCACTAAAGATAAAGCCACCAACGCAAATAATCATAGAAAATAGCATCTTATGGGTCATTCTACAAAATGTGTGGTATTTGTGTCCAAGTTTATTGGTAAAGTGCTTTTCACAATACATATCGTTTCAAAGCAGCTATACAGAAAATGCTTGTTTTGATTAGGAAGTACTTTATCTTTTAAAAAAAACAAAAACAAAACAACTTTAACTTTGAATAGTTGATTCAATATTTACTGTGTTAATATAGACCTTTGTGTTAATATATCTGGTTATTTATTTTGATGTTTTCTTCTCAACTTCACCTTGCTGCATTAGCTAGTGGGCACATTTTTATTGGAAAAATAAATTATTTTTTATGAATCTTTATCTCTGTATATATATGCATTATATATAGGTCTGTGTATACATATATATTCCTATTTAGTATTAAGATTTTTTTGTGTGTGTGTTTTTGAGGGGAGGATGCTTTTATTTTATTTCAAAAATACAGTAAATACAGCTGAAATACAGTAAAAACAATAAATAACCATTCTCTATTTTACTACATTTTAAAATGTATTTTATTCCTCTGATGGCAAAGCTGAATTTTCAGCAGCAATTACTTCAGTTTTCAGTGTCACATGATCTTTTAGAAACCATTATAATATGCTTATTAATATTAAAAAATGTTCAGGATTCTTTGATGAATATAAAGTTTAAAATAACAGCATTTATTTAAAATACATATATTTTAAAATAAATAAAAATGCATAAAAAATCTTACCCCTTTTGAACAGTGAATTGTCTGTGTATATATAGTACCTATTTTATTTTTCTAAAAGACCCATTTGAGGGCATAATTATATCCTAATATATATTCGAATATATTAATTTAGCTTGGGTTAGCACAGTGCACAAAATGTAAAATCTTACAAAAATACTTGAAAATTCACCTTGTAAACTAGAAAATGCATCCATTTCATAGAAGGCACCTTAAAACTGAAGCAGCCTATGGTATGTTTTTCACACATTTTGCGATGCAGAATTAGAGCTGCACAAAGAGAGAACATGAGAGGATGGTGTGCTTGTGCCTTTGCAGTGTCTCACATAACCATTATCTCTGAATTTCAGTGGATTGTAGTTCTCACTGCTTCCACTTGTATTGATGGTCTGTAAAAGGCACTTCCCTTGACACCTACTTGCATCACATCTGTACCTTCGCTTAGATAGTATGCCGGTCTCAAGCTGCAGCAAATATGGCCGCCTGCGGTCGACCTTCAGCTCGTCTAGAAAGGCACAGCCTGGCGAGGGGGTGGGTGAGGGGATTACACCAAAAAAATGGGGGTTGAGAAAAAGGATTTGAGCTGGGAGATGGGAAGAAAAAGAGGCGAGATGCTTCAAAGAGGAAATGAAGAAGGGAAGAAATCCGAGCAGAGGGAGAGGAAGAGAAATCGAGAGGGAGGGAGGATTGGATGAATGTAAAGAGAGGAGTGGGAAGTGTAGGAACAGGTTCAGTGGGTTCATTACTCTTCCATAAGCCAACATGCATAACGCAGTTCGAGGATAATGCTGTGGGCTCTTATGCCTCCATTAGAACGCCATTGTCTTATCTTTGCATGTATGAACATTTGCATAAAATATCGACAAAAGGTTACAATGAGTGCAGAAAATGTAAATTTTTGCTTTCTTTGGATGGGCACAAAATATCCAATATCCAAGTGCCAAATCCAAGTACTGTAAAAATTTGATTTTGGTGAGTACATAAAAAAAATTGGTCATTTTAAACAGAATTGCATGGTTTAAATCTTATTGTGACAATGAGCATTTGACTTTGTCCTATGTAATTCAAAGACATACATGCTAAAGTATTTTCCATTTTCATTTTAGTTCAAATGTTAGTAAATTTGTTGTGTTTCTGTCAATTTATTAGTTTTTTAGATTTTTTCACATTTTTATTTCAGTTTTAATTTGAGTTATTTTAGTATATTAAGTTAAACTATAGGGATAAATAAATAGGAAAACTTATTTAATTTCAGTAAATGTTTATTTTATTTTAAGTAATGAAAATGTTTTGTATGGTTTTAGTTTTGTTAGTTTTAGTAACCAATAACACTGCCATCTACAATGTTGATTAAAAGCTAAATCTTTTATAAGAGACTGACTTATTTTGCATATGATGCTGTGAACATTTTTGTTTCAAATAATAAAAAAAAAACAGCTAAATAATCATATTATGATATAGGGAAAAAAATATAATAAAAAAAAAATTTTAAATTCAATTTTATTTAATTTGTTTATTTTAACTTACATTTGATTTTATATATTTTTGTTTATATATTTGTTTTATTTTATTTAGTTATTTGTACTAAAGTTAGGTTATATTTGGTTTTATGTTGTGTGTGTAAGCTAATCCATGGCATTATTTTTCTTTAGGTTTATGTAGTTCACAGACAACAAAAGTGTTTTAATACCTTTCAACTAGGGCCTATGTTTAATTGAATCGAAGCATGAATTGAAGCGACAGCCCTGGGTTTATGGGCAATGACACGGCTTTGGTTTTCCATATCTGAGCTCTGATAATGTTACTACCCCTCTGCCGTCTTGCCTGGTAATGAAAATAACCCCACAGGTTAGTCCTTTATTACTTTTTTAATATCAAAGCAATATAGATTTACTGGAGATAACGTAGAGGACGGCCCCCCATAAGACTGAAGCAGAGATTATTAAGCAGACTTCTTTGGTAATAAATTAATGATGGGAGATATGGAATTAGGACCTCGGTTTTTCAGTTTTGGGGTTCTAGTCACAGCTGGTTCATGTTCTGTGATTCATTTGCAACATACTGCTTACAGTACAAATATAGACAATAGATAAAGTTATAAAAAGCTAGACAATACTATGAATCCAGTTTTTTGGAATCAAATTAATGTAAACACACAGACACACATATGAAAAAAAAAACACCAAGATGAATTTCATTGGAGTAATTTTCACAAAAATGAGTGATTTAAAATATATACAGCACCATTTAAAGATTAACATTAATGTTCTTGAAGGAGATCTCTTATGTTCACCAAGGCTGCATTTATTTGATAAATATACAGTAAAAAAATATGTTGTGAATTAATAGTGATATTGTGAAATATTAGAATGATTTAAAAAAAAAAAAAATCTATTTAGATATATTTAAAAAAAAAAAACATTTTCTTATTATTATAAATGTTGAAAACACTTGTGCTGCTTAATATTTTAATGCATGAAACATTTTTTTCAGGATTCTTTGATGAATCGAAAGTTGAAAAGAATTGCATTTGTTTGAAATAGAATTTTTGGTAACAATGAAAGATATTACTGTTGCTTTTGATCAATTTAATGTGTTCTTTCTGAAAAAAATATCAGTTTCTTTTATATTATTGATATAATTTTTTATTTACTGACTCACTGCAAACCACAAACAAGGTGATAAATGTTCTAAAATAGCACTGCACAGTCAATGTCATTGCATGCAAATTGCAATTCGCATTTTTGTGCCATTTCCTTTCTAGCATTATTTTTAGTGAGTTGGGCTCTAAAACAATGCAGACAGTGAGTGGAAATAAACAACACTATCAGCTGGTGCAGTGAATACCTCCATTGTGTTTTTAACTTCTTCAACAGGCCTTATTGCAATTGAAAGTAATTGTCTTAATACTTTAATAAAACTTCAATGGCTTCTGCAGGACAAGACCCCCCCTCCCCCCAAAAAACCACAAACAAAAAAACTTGCAGTTTTGCTAACGTCATTGTTTTAATGACGTTAGAAAAGAAAAGGCGTCAGCAATTCTCACTTTAATCTCTGTCTGACCCACTTCATGTCTTCCTTTTTGATTGCTACTAATGCCTGTGCTGTTGTTTGAATCCAGCCTTAAAGAGAGCATAATCATCAGGCTGAGTACGTAATGCATTGTGCTTGTGTTTGTTTGATGTTCCTCTGTGCTTCTCCTCCATGCTTGCTAACCCGCAATGAGTAATTTCAAAGTAATTTCTTGTTTTTATGAGTCCGTCTAAGAGTAGGAGAGCTTCCTCTAGAAGTTTTTCCGTGGTTTCTTTGCTCAGGTTGCAATTCTTTTTAGCTTATAGAAAAGCACCCAGCTGATGCCATGACACACAGGTAGATCGACTGCCCTTGTACTTTTTTGAAAGGGTCAAAAGACACATAAAGGTAATCAATATGGAGGACTGACCCTATCGCTGGAGACGTGGCCAGTCAAGCCAAAATCAGTGCCCCTTGCTGACCTGACTGGATTGGAATGGCAGGCCACCTCTGTTTAACCCGAGGGTGTGTGCGTGCACCGTGACTCTTTTGGCGATGATGTTTACACAGTCACCTCTGCTCCTCTTGCTCACACAGGTAAAACAGGACACACAGAGGTGGTTCGCGTGGTCTATGTGCCTGAGAAGATAAACTTTGCACAGTTGCTGAAGGTATTTTGGGAAAGCCACGATCCTACACAAGGTAACATTTTTTGCCATCACACTCTCAAAATCTTAAAGGGATAGTCTGCTTTTCAAAAATGAAAATTCTGTCATCATTTACTCACTCTCTTGTCTTTCCAAACCTGTATGACTTTCTTTCTTCTGTGGAACTCAAAGAAGTTTTTTTTCTATGCAGTGAACATGAATGAGGAAATGTCAAGCTCTGAAAAGCACCATAAAAGTAGGCCATATGACTTTGTGTGGTATATTTCAAGTCTTATAATGAGGAACATACCAAAATATAATTTATTCAAATATCCCATACATAAAAAAGTGTAAATTGCCAAAATGTATTTTAATAAAAGAAAATATATTTTTTACAATAAAAAAATACATTTAGTTTAAACCTTCAAATGTCAGAATACAGGTGCATCTCAATAAATTAGAATGTCCACAATTTGAGTTGAATTACTGAAATAAATGAACTTTTCCATGACATTCTAATTTATTGAGATGCACCTGTAGATTGCAAAATGTACTTCAAGGGTAAAAAAAACGAAATCTCTGTAGGAAATGTATATAAGTAAATTCCAATCCTAAAATACATTTCTGGAAAAATGCTTTTTTATTTAGAAAAAAAAAAAAAACACATTTGTATATAATGGCCAAAAATATGAGGGAATATAAATTAAACTATTTAACTATTAACTTATTGAAAAATATTTATTGATGTAAATATATTTAAAAACCTATATTAGCGCTACATTTTAATGTATTTCGATCTATTTTTAAAAAATATTTCTGAAAATAATTTTATTTTGCTATATAGGATGCCATGCGAATATGTTGCATTGGAAGATTTTAAATGGATACATTTTAGTCTGTTCCTTAAATTTTCACAATTTTAAAGCATCTGAACTTCTTTGATACTTTATTATTTAGTCATTTTGGAGCTGTCTTTCAAGTTTCACAGAAGAAAGGTCTTGAGTAAATGACTAAAATGTCCTTTTTGGGTAAACTCTCCCTTTAAGATCATATTTAGTTCATTATTAGTTGAAAGCCAATACAGTACACAGTAAGTTTTGTTTACCACAGTGTTCATTAAAGAAAGGCCGAGCACAATAAGCCATTTAAAAGCCAGTAAAAAAGAGCAGCTCTTTAACTTAATACAGTCTTAAGTTCCAGTAGTTTGAGAGCTACGAGAGGTCCATCATGAATTCACAAAGAGGAGAGGCAACAGTTTGAGTGGCTGCAATCATGACCAGAGGACTCAGATCAGAGTTTAAAGTGTCTCGACCATCCAATCACATTCAGACTGATGGAGACAGCCTGTATAATGCCCTGATTGTGTCTGTGGTGATGACTAACACTCTGCTCATTCTTATATATGTTCACACTGAAATCATTATGGTTTGGTTTAAGTCATTTAAAGAAAAGTTTTACAGCTCAGAAGTGTTTAAAATAATGTACATTCGCATGAGGTAAAGACTCCAGTCCTATCCAGCTTCTTCAGCATAGTTAATGCCCTCTTCCCATCCTACAAAAATATCCATGCAGAATCTATGAAGTCATATCTGGATCAAGAACAGATAGAACAGAGCTTTAATTAAAACCACACTCTTCCCAAGATTTCATATCTGGTTGATTGGGAGTTTGTTTCCCAAGAGACTTAAGTACTAATAGATGCTAATTTTGGACCCACAGAAGACGCACTCAGTGGCTGAACTGCATGATTTCATCAGAGTTACACAACTTACTTTACTTCTCAGATGTCTATATAGAGTTTAACATTGAATCTCAAGGAGTAATTTACCCATTTACATTTGTGTTGTAATCAGATCCTCAAACACCCTGTTTTTAACATTGAGATATCTGCATATTCTTTGATAGGAATGCGACAAGGCAACGATGTTGGGACGACCTATCGATCAACCATCTACGCTTACGCACAGGAACAGCTCGACCAGGCATTGCACTCCAAGGATGAATATCAGAAGGTATCCCTCAACCGCCCTTTCATATCTCTCCTCTCCATATACAAACAACCCTCAGGTGATCAGTTTGTGGATCAGTGGTTCAAAACTAATTTGGCTTCAGGATCCAGATATTACATTGGACATCAAGTGCCAAAAGCAAAAATGTCCTTGAAAATATTATTGGTTGTCTTGAAAATATTATTGACATAGCTTTTTGGATCTCAGCACTCTTCAATTGTATATACTAATACTAATAATACTACTACTAATAATTTATATATATATTTTATAAAAGTACAAATTATACAAAAATACAAAATGCAGAAGATTACAAAACGTACTTCAAGGGTAAAAAAAAAACAAACTTAAAGACTTTAAGACATTTCGGGGAAAATGCTTTTTTTTATTTAGGAAAAAATAAACATTTGTATATAAGGGCAAAAATATGAGGGAATATAAATTAAACAATTTAACTATATTTCTGAAAATATTTTTCTTTTGCCATATAGGATGCTGCATCAAAATGTTGTATTGGAAGATTTTATATGAATACATTTTAGTCTGTTCCTCAAATTTATGCAGTTTTATGGCATCAGAACGTTTTTGATACTTTATTATTTAGTCATTGGACATCAAGCACCAAAAGCAAAAATGTCCTTGAAAATATAATTGGTTGTCTTGAAAGTATTATTGACATTATAGTTTTTTGGATCTCAGCACTCTTCATTTGTATATATTAATAATAATTATTATTTATATATTGCATAAAAATGGTTAAAAAATTATACAAAAATATAATATGTGAAAAATTAATAAAGTAATAAAATTAAAAAATTAAATATTAAAATAAATAATTCTAATATTAAAATAATGAATATTAAAACAAATTTTTTTAAAACATAATTTTAAAACAGTTTGTTGAGTAGTGGAATATGTATGTGATATGTGATAATTTATTAATGTGTTAACTTATTGATTTGTGTATGTACACACACACACACACACATATTAATTTTTTATTTTAATGTATTATTAATAGTATCATTACTAGTTATTGTTGAGTTTTGGAATATTAATGTGATAGTATTAATTTCTTCACTTCCGCAAGGCGCTTTAAGGCAACAGGCTTAGTATGGTATTTTCCCTCCAGTCCACAACCTTATCAGAACAGACCTGCAGTCCACCAGCTGACAACCACTGCTTTAGAAAACAAAAGCTGTTTGTATCGCCGGTACCCTCATATAATGGTATGCCCACACCTCTGGTCCCCAAGCGGACAGTAAGAAGGGACAGGTGTTGAGGATTACAGCCCTCAGCGGTTCTTGCTCTGTTTGATAACCTGCGAATCCATGCTAGATGAAACAGGTTTTCTGCAAAGCAGGGAAATATAATCTTACACATGAAATAGTAATTCTGTTTGTCTCGTAGACAGCTTGGAGAAGGGAGCCTTCAAATCCGTGCACGAGAAGGTTCAAAGCCTTTCGGCGCTGAGTGCGAATGCTGCCATCTGCATTATGCATATATTTTTCTCTAATTGCAGAACGGCTCTGTTGTCGAGCCGAAAATTGAGGTTTCTTGGTCTTGGAGGTGCAATGCATTACAAACCTGCATGCGGTTCACGCTAACAACCCCACCCTTTCCGTCGAAGCGAAGCCTGTTAGAACAATAGAAGCAGAGGAACTAACTGGTTCTCACAGGCACTAATCTTCCCTACCGTACCCCTGTAGTCTCATTTTCTTCCTTCAAAACCCTTCCCCCCCTTGTGTATGATCATACTTGTGTTTTTTTGGGCTGTTTCTCTTCTCATTCCCTCAGATCAGTCCACAGTCTGAGATGAAATTAGCAGCCGTGCGTTCTGTACCTCACCGAAGCGCTCTGTTGTATTCACGCTCGGACACATTACGGACGGTGTCGCGTTAGACACATTTGACTATTGATGAGATGACCTTGACTGTCTCATCATCCCAGTGTCCTTTCTTGCTTTCTTTGCACTTCACATCAGATCTCGGCTGCTTTTGTGCTGATACCGAGGGTTTTCTGCAGCCTCTCTTTCTACATCAAAAGAGCCCAAATGAACGGCGCAGTCACTCTTCGCTCTTGCCTCAGCCCTCCATTTTGAACAAATGCTGAACACAATATCCAATATCTTTTCCTGTGATATGGTGCATTTGGTATCTCAGCAACTGATTCTTGAAGAAGGGATGGATCTCACTGGATAGCGATGCTCGCAGACACACTCACACATGCTCACAAATAAAGTCCTTGCTTTTCACAATCAAAATGCTTATTTTAGAGGCATATTAAGAAGTTTTCTAGCAGGATAGAGACTGATTTGGAGATCAGCAACCAGGGCTTGACAATACAGATTTTTTTTTCTGCATGCTGGCCATTATTTCACTTAGTTCAGATTTTTACTTGCCACATTTTTACTGGCCACACAGCCACAAATATAATAAAAATCTGGTTTAGTTAACAGTTTAGCTATGTAAATTTATATAAATAAAAAAATGAAGGAGAGGGATGAGTAGAGGGATAAAGCTGATTTATAAAAAATAAAAAAAACAATCTTTTCATCAGTTGCTGAGATAGCAAATCACAGGAAATGATTTTTGGATATTGCATTCAGCATGTCTTCAAATTTGAGTGCTCAGGCATGAGTGTAGAGTGATAAATATATCAATCATTTGGACTCTTTTAAAGTATATTTATAAAATATAATTATTTATATAAAATTGGCTACAGACTCGACATTAGACCATCATTACTATTGAGTTCTGTCCACTGAAGTGTCTAAATGAAGTGAACACACAGTGTTGGGACTCAGGGGATGAGAAAAGGGGGCGCAGGCCTCAGAGCGGGAAAAGCATATGGGTGCGATTTGTTTTTTCACGCAGCACTGGCTCCAGCTGATGATAACTCCCAGTGGTCTGCACCATTGGCCACTGACTTTCTGATCAGCTTCCTACTTCCAAAATCAGACACTTTAAAAAAAATCATATTTAGAATTATACAGGTCTTGGTCTTAGATGCTGATTGGTTACAGCATTTTATCCCATAGAGGCCACTAAATTAGCCTTAGTCTACATGTAAGGGACTATATCTACTAGCAGATGGATTCTGCTGTATGAATTTGCACAATAAAATCATATTTTTATCCTGTTTTGTAAAAGCCTTTTGTTTCTTATTGCTTTAGCAGAGCAGCCTTTTTGCTTAGAGAATCTCCCAGTGTTAATTGCTTTGTTTTCTTGCCCTGAAATTTAATGGACAAGGGTTCTGTTAATGACTGGAATTGAGAGCCACCCTATGGCCCTCTAAAATAGTTCTGTTTCATAAAAATAGAGCATGAAGAGATGGTTTTTTTTCACCCTTGGAAAATGGATAATTTTCAGTTTGGCTTGTTGCACGGTTGAATACATGTTCATAGAAAAGTGGGATTTTGCAGCAGTTTGGTCATTTAAGACGTCCAAAATTACTGTAAGCTAAAATTACTGTAAACTACTAGTGTTGCTTTTTAATGGTAGATCACTTATTAACCCTCATGTTCTGTTTGTCATGTTCAAGTTTTTTCCCCCTATATATATATATATTTACAGTGCCGCCCACTAATGTTGGCACCCTTGGTAAATATGAGCAAAGGTAGCTGTGAAAATAAATCTGCATCATTTATCTTTTTGATCTTTCATTCAAAAAATTCACAAAATTCTAAACTTTAATATAACTAAAACTTTTGAAAGTGGGGGGAAACTCGCATTATGAAATAAATGTTTTTCTCCAATGCATGTTGGCTACCATTATTGGCACCCCTAGAAATTCTTATGAGTAAAATATCTCTGAAGTATATTCCTATTCATATTTAAACAATTTTTAGCACACCAGGGTGATTATGAACATGAAATTGTCCAGCCATGACTTCCTGTTCCACAGGATTATAAATATGAGGAACACAAAGGCCAAATTCCCTTAATCATCTATCACAAGGAGTAAAACAAAGAATATAGTTCTGATGTACAGAACAAGATTGTTGAGCTTCACAAAATAGAAAGTGGCTGTAAGAAAATAGCTAATGCATTGAAAATCCCCATTTCCACCATCAGGGCAATAATTAAGTTCCAATCAACTAAAGATGTTACAAAACTGCCTGGAAGAGGACGTGTGTCTATATCGTCCTAATGCACGGTGAGGAGGAGAGTTTGAGCGGCCAAACACTCCAAGGATCACTATCAAATACCAACAGATAAAAAATCTAAACCTGACTGCCTCTGTTAGAAATCTTATAATGGAGCATGTTTAGATCTTCCATCAGGACAATGATCCAAAACAAACATCAAAATCAACACAAAAATGTGTCACTGAGCACAAAATGAAGCTTCTGCCATGGCTGTCTCAGTTCCCTGACCTGAACCCTATAGAAAATGAGTGGGTTGAACTGAAGAGAAGAAGCACCAACATGGAGCTGGTATTCTGAAGGATCTGGAGAGATTCTGGATGAAGGAATGGTCTCTGATCTCTTGTCAAGTGTTCTCCAAACTCATCAGGCATTCATTATAGGAGAACACTCAGAACTGTTATCTTGGGAAAAGGATGTTGCAATAATTGGGTGCCAATAACTGTGGCTAACGTGAACTAGAGAAAAACATTTATTTCATAATGCGTGTTTCCCCCACTTTCCATTGTTTTACATCAATGAAAGGTTAGAATTTTGTCAATTTATTTTCACAGACACCTTTGCTCATATTTACCAAGGGTTCCAATATTAGTATGTTCTTGCTTTGGTAAAACAGAAGCAACATTGACTATTTTAGATAACAGTGACATTTCTGTATCCAATATAGTCAATGTATCAAATTATTTGGTGATACAACTTGGCTTGATAAGGTTAGAGGAACTTGTTAAAAGAATTTGAGTTGAAAAAATATCACTATTTATGCCCTTTTTTTTAGACATATACCATGGGGTCTCTGGGAGTCCTAACATATAGCCTGCAAAGGCAATTTCAATAGGACAAGCATTAAATAATATGT